TGACATGTGTCAATCACAGTGAACACTTGAATTATCACGAACATTAAACAGTTTTTGAGTGCATGACTTCGAAAGTAAATTTGAACGTCAATATCAGGTACACGTATTTCATGAACATTTCAAATGGCAATCCAGCATATGAATCAAATGTCCTTTGGTGGAATTAAACGTAACAACGAAAAATGAACAATTAAAAATAGGTGACAGTGACCTACCACTGATATCACAAGATCGTCATCACTTGTCATACTTAAGTAGTCAAACAATATAATCACCATATGCTTAAACTTAAACTAAGTCGGCAGAAAAGGGCATTTTAGTGAAATGTGATATTGATTTTTATCAATCTAGAATCCCGAGGATGACCTTGATAATTGACATGCCGAAACGTAGATACACATGAAATGATATCCACGAGATGTCCAAGCTCCGCGTGGTTTCAAAAAGGAAAGTGGAGCGACAGCGGCGCGGCAACACTAAAAAAACAAAACATTAAAACATCCACATTCACAAAGGGCTGAATACCAGTTCAAACAAACGACATTTTTCTTGATACTTAACAACAAACTACGTGTCAATCATGACGTTGACGGTACTGAATAGATTCGAAGGCGTGGCCGTAAATTATAAAATGAAGTCGTTTCATATCAAAATCTAAATACGTTTAAATGCTAAATACATTTATTTTTGTAAATCTATTTATATTTCATGAACCATATCCCATTTATTGTTTCAGGTGCTTCAGTACATAAACTGCCGGGCAAAAGAAAGTTTACACCCATGCTTGATGGTGACTAAAATGAAACAAACAAGAAATGGTTATTAGATGGATATGTATTTGATTCGAGTACCCTAGGCGATATTACATGCATCAGATCAATGACGATCTTACAACAGGTAACGTGCACACGACGTCTCAACGAAAATGGGGTTGAAATTTCACAGTACCAGTAATGAGCAGAGTGAAGCAGGTATTTTTGGTGTACACTTTCTTATGTCCGGCAGTTTATACCAACGGTGTATATTTCATAGTATACGATAAAGCTGTGTATAAGTGAGTGAGAATGGTTTAACGTCGCTTTGTGTTTCAGTTCGGTGTGGCAGCATGTTGTGAGAGAGAAGCAAGAAAAAAACACTAAATACATCAACGAAGTGCGAAACACGAAAATCACAAACATTTTCTAAAACATCAACGAATTGTGAAACAATAAACGGTGAATAATCAAGTATGACACTTTGCTATTAGTTAATTCCTATTGACAATGAAATAGCATGCCACACCTAAACAAAAGTATGTGTACGTCTAATGCTTCAATCGTTTAGAGTTGAAAAAGCCAAGATAAAATATCAGAAACATCACTTATGGCTTATAACGCACGAATGGACCTAAACGTGTACATGTATACTTTGCCAGTATGTAAACACAGTGACATTTCTAAATCAATATATTAGTATCAGGGAGCTCGTTCGCCTTGTTGTTTTCCAAGCGTCGGTGGGATGGTTAATCAGGCGGTGTGTGTGCGTTGATAAAGGGTTATAGCCCTAGGTGTTACGTGGGTAGAGTGGTGCTGGTGTGGAGGAGTCTCGAGTCTCAGGTGTACATGTTGTGAGGGTGGAGTTTCGAGCTTCAGGTGTACATGTTGTGAGGGTGCAATCTCGAGCTTCAGGTGTACATGCTGAATGGGAGGAGTCTCAAGCTTCAGGTGTACATGTTGTGAGGGTGGAGTCCCGAGATTCAGGTGTATATGTTGTGAGGGTGGAGTCTCGAGCTTCAGGTGTACAGGATGTGTGAGGGTAGGGTCTCGAGCTGCAGGTGTACATGTTGTGAGGGTGGAGTCTCGAGCTTCAGGTGTAGTCTCGAGTTTCAGGTGTACATGTTGTGTGGGAGGAGTCGTAAGCTTCAGGTGTACATGTTGTGAGGGAGGAGTCTCGAGCTTCAGGTGTAAATGATGTGTGGGAGGAGTCTCGAGCTTCAGGTGCACATGTTGTGAGGGTGGAGTCTCGAGCTTCAGGTGCACATGTTATGAGGGTGGAGTCTCGAGCCTCAGGTGTACATGTTGTGAGGGAGGAGTCTCGAGCTTCAGGTGTAGTCTCGAGCTTCAGGTGTACATGTTATGAGGGAGGAGTCGTAACCTTCAGGTGTACGTGTTGTGAGGGAGGAGTCTCGAGCTTCAGGTGCACATGTTGTGAGGGTTGAGTCTCGAGCTTCAGGTGTACATGTTGTGAGGGTGGAGTCTCGAGCTTCAGGTGTACATGTTGTGTGGGAGGAGTCTCGAGCTTCAGGTGTACATGTTGTGAGGGAGGAGTCTCGAGATTCAGGTGCACATGTTGTGAGGGAGGAGTCGTAACCTTCAGGTGTACATGTTGTGAGGGTGGAGTCTCGAGCTTCAGGTGTACATGTTGTGTGGGAGGAGTCTGGAGCTTCAGGTGCACGTGTTGTGTGGGAGGAGTCTCGAGCTTCAGGTTTTCATGTTGTGAGGGAGGAGTCGTAACCTTCAGGTGTACATGTTGTGAGGGTGGAGTCTCGAGCTTCAGGTGTACATGTTGTGTGGGAGGAGTCTCGAGCTTCAGGTGCACGTGTTGTGTGGGAGGAGTCTCGAGCTTCAGGTGCACATGTTGTGAGGGAGGAGTCGTAACCTTCAGGTGTACATGTTGTGAGGGTGGAGTCTCGAGCTTCAGGTGTACATGTTGTGTGGGAGGAGTCTCGAGCTTCAGGTGTACATGTTGTGAGGGAGGAGTCTCGAGATTCAGGTGCACATGTTGTGAGGGAGGAGTCGTAACCTTCAGGTGTACATGTTGTGAGGGTGGAGTCTCGAGCTTCAGGTGTACATGTTGTGTGGGAGGAGTCTCGAGCTTCAGGTGTACATGTTGTGAGGGAGGAGTCTCGAGATTCAGGTGTACATGTTGTGAGGGAGGAGTCGTAACCTTCAGGTGTACATGTTGTGAGGGTGGAGTCTCGAGCTTCAGGTGCACATGTTGTGAGGGAGGAGTCTCGAGATTCAGGTGCACATGTTGTGAGGGAGGAGTCTCGAGCTTCAGGTGTACATGTTGTGAGGGTGGAGTCTCGAGGTTCAGGTGTGGGAGGAGTCTCGAGGTTCAGTTGTACATGTTGTGTGGGAGGAGTCTCGCGCTTCAGGTGTACATGTTGTGTGGGTGGAGTCTCGAGCTTCAGGTGCACATGTTGTGAGGGTGGAGTCTCGAGCTTCAGGTGCACATGTTGTGAGGGAGGAGTCTCGAGCTTCAGGTGCACATGTTGTGAGGGAGGAGTCTCGAGATTCAGGTGCACATGTTGTGAGGGAGGAGTCTCGACCTTCAGCTGTACATGTTGTGAAGGTGGAATCTTGAGCTTCAGGTGCACATGTTGTGAGGGAGGAACCTCGAGCTTCAGGTGCACATGTTGTGAGGGAGGAGTCTCGACCTTCAGCTGTACATGTTGTGAGGGAGGAGTCTCGAGCTTCAGGTGCACATGTTGTGAGGGAGGAGTCTGGAGCTTCAGGTGTACATATTGTGTTGGTGGAGTCTCGAGCTTCAGGTGTACATGTTGTGAGGGTGGAGTCTCGAGCTTCAGGTGCACATGTTGTGAGGGAGGAGTCTCGAGCTTCAGGTGCAAATGTTGTGAGGGAGGAGTCTCGAGCTTCAGGTGTGGGAGGAGTCTCGAGCTTCAGGTGCACATGTTGTGAGGGAGCAGTCTCGAGATTCAGGTGCACATGTTGTGAGGGAGGAGTCTCGAGCTTCAGGTGCACATGTTGTGAGGGTGGAATCTTGAGCTTCAGGTGCACATGTTGTGAGGGAGGAGACTCGAGCTTCAGGTGCACATGTTGTGAGGGTGGAGTCTCGAGATTCAGGTGTACATGTTGTGAGGGAGGAGTCTCGAGCTTCAGGTGTGCATGTTTTGAGGGAGGAGTCTCGAGATTCAGGTGCACATGTTGTGTGGGAGGAGTCTCGAGCTTCAGGTGTACATGTTGTGAGGGAGGAGTCTCGACCTTCAGGTGCACATGTTGTGAGGGAGGAGTCTCGAGCTTTAGGTGCCCATGTTGTGGGGGTGGAGTCTCGACCTTCAGGTGTACATGTTGTGAGGGTGGAGTCTCGAGCTTCAGGTGTACATGTTGTGTGGGAGGAGTCTCGAGCTTCAGGTGTACATGTTGTGAGGGAGGAGTCTCGAGATTCAGATGCACATGTTGTGAGGGAGGAGTCTCGAGCTTCAGGTGTACATGTTGTGAGGGTGGAGTCTCGAGGTTCAGGTGTGGGAGGAGTCTCGAGCTTCAGTTGTACATGTTGTGTGGGAGGAGTCTCGAGCTTCAGGTGTACATATTGTGTTGGTGGAGTCTCGAGCTTCAGGTGCAAATGTTGTGAGGGTGGAGTCTCGAGCTTCAGGTGCACATGTTGTGAGGGAGGAGTCTCGAGCTTCAGGTGCACATGTTGTGAGGGAGGAGTCTCGAGCTTCAGGTGCACATGTTGTGAGGGAGGAGTCTGGAGCTTCAGGTGTACATATTGTGTGGGTGGAGTCTCGAGCTTCAGGTGCACATGTTGTGAGGGAGGAGTCTCGAGCTTCAGGTGCACATGTTGTGAGGGAGGAGTCTGGAGCTTCAGGTGTACATATTGTGTGGGTGGAGTCTCGAGCTTCAGGTGCACATGTTGTGAGGGAGGAGTCTCGAGCTTCAGGTGCACATGTTGTGAGGGAGGAGTCTCGAGATTCAGGTGCACATGTTGTGAGGGAGGAGTCTCGACCTTCAGCTGTACATGTTGTGAAGGTGGAATCTTGAGCTTCAGGTGCACATGTTGTGAGGGAGGAGTCTCGAGCTTCAGGTGCACATGTTGTGAGGGAGGAGTCTCGAGCTTCAGGTGCACATGTTGTGAGGTAGGAGTCTCGAGCTTCAGGTGTACATATTGTGTTGGTGGAGTCTCGAGCTTCAGGTGTACATGTTGTGAGGGTGGAGTCTCGAGCTTCAGGTGCACATGTTGTGAGGGAGGAGTCTCGAGCTTCAGGTGCACATGTTGTGAGGGAGGAGTCTCGAGCTTCAGGTGTACATATTGTGTTGGTGGAGTCTGGAGCTTCAGGTGTACATGTTGTGAGGGTGGAGTCTCGAGCTTCAGGTGCACATGTTGTGAGGGAGGAGTCTCGAGCTTCAGGTGCAAATGTTGTGAGAGAGGAGTCTCGAGGTTCAGGTGTGGGAGGAGTCTCGAGCTTCAGTTGTACATGTTGTGTGGGAGGAGTCTCGCGCTTCAGGTGTACATGTTGTGTGGGTGGAGTCTCGAGCTTCAGGTGCACATGTTGTGAGGGTGGAGTCTCGAGCTTCAGGTGCACATGTAGTGAGGGAGGAGTCTCGAGATTCAGGTGCACATGTTGTGTGGGAGGAGTCTCGAGCTTCAGGTGTACATGTTGTGAGGGAAGAGTCTCGAGCTTCAGGTGCACATGTTGTGAGGGAGGAGTCTCGAGCTTTAGGTGCACATGTTGTGAGGGTGGAGTCTCGACCTTCAGGTGTACATGTTGTGAAGGTGGAATCTTGAGCTTCAGGTGCACATGTTGTGAGGGAGGAGTCTCGAGCTTCAGGTGCACATGTTGTGAGGGAGGAGTCTCGAGCTTCAGGTGCACATGTTGTGAGGGAGGAGTCTGGAGCTTCAGGTGTACATATTGTGTGGGTTGAGCCTCGAGCTTCAGGTGCAAATGTTGTGAGGGAGGAGTCTCGATGTTCAGGTGTGGGAGGAGTCTCGAGCTTCAGTTGTACATGTTGTGTGGGAGGAGTCTCGCGCTTCAGGTGTACATGTTGTGTGGGTGGAGTCTCGAGCTTCAGGTGCACATGTTGTGAGGGTGGAGTCTCGAGCTTCAGGTGCACATGTTGTGAGGGAGGAGTCTCGAGATTCAGGTGCACATGTTGTGTGGGAGGAGTCTCGAGCTTCAGGTGTACATGTTGTGAGGGAAGAGTCTCGAGCTTCAGGTGCACATGTTGTGAGGGAGGAGTCTCGAGCTTTAGGTGCACATGTTGTGAGGGTGGAGTCTCGACCTTCAGGTGTACATGTTGTGAAGGTGGAATCTTGAGCTTCAGGTGCACATGTTGTGAGGGAGGAGTCTCGAGCTTCAGGTGCACATGTTGTGAGGGAGGAGTCTCGAGCTTCAGGTGCACATGTTGTGAGGGAGGAGTCTGGAGCTTCAGGTGTACATATTGTGTGTTGGAGTCTCGAGCTTCAGGTGCACATGTTGTGAGGGAGGAGTCTCGAGCTTGAGGTGCACATGTTGTGAGGGAGGAGTCTCGAGATTCAGGTGCACATGTTGTGAGGGAGGAGTCTCGAGCTTCAGGTGCACATGTTGTGAGGGTGGAGTCTCGACCTTCAGCTGTACATGTTGTGAAGGTGGAATCTTGAGCTTCAGGTGTACATATTGTGTTGGTGGAGTCTCGAGCTTCAGGTGCACATGTTGTGAGGGAGGAGTCTCGAGCTTCAGGTGCACATGTTGTGAGGGAGGAGTCTGGAGCTTCAAGTGTACATATTGTGTTGGTGGAGTCTCGAGCTTCAGGTGTACATGTTGTGAGGGTGGAGTCTCGAGCTTCAGGTGCACATGTTGTGAGGGAGGAGTCTCGAGCTTCAGGTGCAAATGTTGTGAGGGAGGAGTCTGGAGCTTCAGGTGTACATATTGTGTGGGAGGAGTCTCGAGCTTCAGGTGCACATGTTGTGAGGGAGGAGTCTCGAGCTTCAGGTGCACATGTTGTGAGGGAGGAGCCTCGAGATTCAGGTGCACATGTTGTGAGGGTGGAGTCTCGACCTTCAGCTGTACATGTTGTGAAGGTGGAATCTTGAGCTTCAGGTGTACATGTTGTGTGGGTGGAGTCTCGAGCTTCAGGTGTACATGTTGTGTGGGTGGAGTCCCAAGCTTCAGGTGCACATGTTGTGAGGGAGGAGTCTCGAGCTTCAGGTGCACATGTTGTGAGGGTGGAGTCTCGATCTTCAGGTGTACATGTTGTGTGGGTGGAGTCTCGAGCTTCAGGTGTACATGTTGTGTGGGAGGAGTCTCGAGCTTCAGGTGTACATGTTGTGTGGAAGGTGTCCTGAGCTTCAGGTGCACATGTTGTGAGGGAGGAGTCTGGAGCTTCAGATGTACATGTTGTGTGGAAGCAAGGAGGCTGGAGTTTCTAGGGTTGTGTGGGAGGCTGTAGTTTCAGGTGTTGTGTTGGAGGCTGGAGGTAGCATTTGCAGGTATTGAGTTTGAGGTTTGAGGCTGGAGTTTCAGGTGTTGTGTGGGAGTGAGGAGGTTTGAGGCTGGGGTTTCAGGTGTTGTATTGGAGGGTTGATGATTTTGGTAATGTGATGGAAGCCTGATAATCGATGATATCAGTTTCCCGTATCTCTTCACGTATACATTAAGTTCAATTTCAGCTCAAAGATCTCGGAACCCCAAAGAACAAACCATAAACATAAGGCATATCAATGTCATATTCACCTATAACAAGTCAGCAAAACCACACGCGAGTATTTGCAACAATGAAGCTGGTTTTTGAAGCACATGTATCAGCCTTTCACAAGGATTAAGAATTAGTGTAACCGTTGCAGACATGTTAAAGGAGGACTACACTCATCGGGCTGTTGGTCATTTGTCTAGCTCCAGGCGTATTTATTATTGCCTGCAAGATTGATATACATAATAAACTTTGAGGAAGCAGACAGACAAATTAGGGTTTGAACGAAGTGGACCACACTTTCTGGGACTGCCAATTTGCTCGAGTCAAGCTCCCCTTTGAATGTGATTAAACGGAATGGGTGTACAATCAGGTGTGCACCCTTCATTTACTTCCCTGTCAGTATCAGCAGAAAGAGTCCAGAATGCAGTCCCCATGCAGTTGGAGACAGCTTGTTGGAGTGTAGCGCTGTTCATAGCCATTTAGGTGGCAACCTGAAAGAGAACAACAGATACAGGAAAATGTTCAGATGCAGCATACACATATGAAACGATGAGTTCATTGAAAGGATACTGTCGAGAGTCCGGTAATAAAAGAAGGAATGAACGTGTCAGTTTGACATCGAAATGGATTTGATTGTATATATCTCAATATATTTTAATACTCTATTATTGTTTTACATGGGGAGTGAGTGAGTGTGTTTTACATCGTTTTTATCAATGATACAACCATACGTAGAACGTTCCCTAAACCATTAGATAATGGTTTTCCTATGAGTGAGTGCTTATGTAACCAACCATCGATGCAAATCAGTTGGCACTATATAGTGAGTGAGTGAGTTTGATTTTACGCCGCTTTTAGCAATATTCCAGCAATATCACGGCGGGGGACACCAGAAATGGGCTTCACACATTGTACCCATGTCGGGAATCGAACCCGGGTCTTCGGCGTGACGACCTAACGCTTTAACCACTAGGCTACCCGACCGCCCCTGGCACTATATAAAAAAATAGGGCGATTCACTCAGGTGTTATATTCCTACGTCTTAAACTTCGATTATTTTAAGAATGATATCATATGATAAAGCGATGAGTATCCTCGTGTGCTTCCGTATCGAAAAATCCTATATTAGGATCACTAAGGGTTTATATTCCTATATTAGGATCACTAAGGGTTTATATTCCTATATTAGGATCACTAAGGGTTTATATTCCTATATTAGGATCACTAAGGGTTTATATTCCTATATTAGGATCACTAAGGGTTTATATTCCTATATTAGGATCACTAAGGGTTTATATTCCTATATTAGGATCACTAAGGGTTTATATTCCTATATTAGGATCACTAAGGGTTTATATTCCTATATTAGGATCACTAAGGGTTTATATTCCTACGCAGTTTCTGAAGTTATTACAGTGAATTGCAATCTGACTTAAACTTCGATTAATTTAAGAATGACATCATATGATAAAGCGATTATTACCCTCGTGTGCTTTCTTAACCTAAAACCGCCTCCGTGGTCTAGTTGTTGAGCGTCCGCCCGGAGAGCGGAAGGATCCGGAGTTCGATCCCCGGGGGCATCATACCAAAAGACGTTATAATATGGTACTTGTTGTTTCCCTGGTCGGCTCGGTGTCAGTATACTATGTCTGAGTGGGGTATTCATGTTAAGCCGCGGCACGGTATCTCAGTGGGCTGTCATTATATAACCGGCACACGCCAAGGCTAGTACAATCAGTCAATGATGTTATTATTAACATCCGAGTAAAATTTCAGAACCACGGGAGGCAACGCACGCACTTAACTATAAGAGTGTAATATTCTTGGACGCGAAATTAAACCCTATTTCACCTCCGTATCATAAATATCATATATTAGAAATAAAACATATTTTTAAAGGCTCGCATAATAAAATTCTTACTCCTGATATAGGATATTTACGATACAAAAACACACTCGGCTAATAATCCCTATTCAACAGACAATATGACTAAGAAGAGTATAAGGTATCCGTAATACAACTAGAATCTCCGATTTATCAGGCAATCTACCAAGTTTATCTAAACTTTCAAACAAAATAAAGATAAGGTCAACACAAAAGAAACATAAAAATAATAAGATTATTTATTTATTCCAGAAGTAAATGTTTTCTTGAATCTAAACAAGTGAATTTTCTTGGATGCCACGACGACTTTGTGGTGAACCGAACATTCAAAGAGAACTCCTTGTATGTCCGAATGTAAAATCCCAGTTTATGATATTACTTTGTTACACAGTGGCTTTTGCTTGGTAATAGAATCTCCGTTAAATGTCTTCAAGATAAGCCATCCCCAGCCCTCGGCATAAGGACCAGGACTGAGTCTGTTAATGGTATGTCGATTTGTACACTACTGCCTAAAAGTTAATTCCCCTAAGACGCGTTGAGAACGCGTGTAACACGCATATGACACTGGTGTGCAACGGGTGTGCAGCGCGTGTGCAACCCGTCGAGCACGCGTGAGTCACTCGTTGCACACGCGTGTGCCATGCGTGTAACACGGGACCGGGTTTCAGTTGACGTTGGAAAATATATTAAAAGATTTGTGAGATAAATCAAAACAGTGAGATGTGAATCTTGAGTTAACGAGCCGCCATTGACCTGTGTTCACCAGACCATGAAGACAAGGTCGGCCCGTCATAATTAGTGTTCCGTTGTTGGACTTTTATGGCATGAACCATTCCAGAAGGGTCCAGTCTAGCCATTGTGGCTACCCGACAGTAGAACAGCAGTGAGTTTAGAAGCGAGTTTATTGCTAGGGGAATCCCCGAGTTGACACGATTGTCGCGGGTTGGTAAATGCTCGCCATTAGTGAAGTGATTGTTTGTGGATTGCGGACATATTCGTTTTAAGTTTTGCCCACGTTAGTCATTGAGGGTGACTATGAATATAATGTTTTTCGTTCGCCAAATTCATGCTTTAGATAGTACAATTATGATAGAACAGTCATCACTACTTATGTCTTATTATTTCACGTAGGAATATATCCCATTTTCCCACACCCCACTTTCTGTCTGGTATTTTGTAAGAATTATTAAGAGAATGTTTAGTGTGGGACTTAACATATTTATCACTAATTCTAACAGGATATTGGAAATGATTATGGACAGCCATGTTGTCTCACTGTTGATAGAATTTTAGATCTTCACAATCACCGGGTGTGACCATGTAGGCAGAATCTCGTTAAGGTTTGTGATTTTTACATTTGCCCAATGACCATGGTGAGGATTGTTGGGGATACCAAAGGTGACAGTTTACTATTAGAGGAAATTGGTTGTGAGTACTTATACCATTTGGATAGGATATCTGTAGGATTTTAATCCTTTCTTTCTTTCTTTCACGTTGATGGAAGGAAGTCACTCAACCAGGGTCATGACAATGGTTATGCGCAAGGCTCGGAATCAAGAAAAGATCACTAGAGGTGTTGATGCAGGCTGGACATGCAGCATACAGCATTTCCAGTGTAGGCTGGCACCTCGTGTTTGTTTGAATCGGTATGTAAAACCTTGGCCATTCACAGGTGCATTTGTCTATTTACAATGAAGTTGTTTGGTGTTCCTAGTATTTATATACTATCTCACTGATTACTTGTTAACTGGTCACTGCAAGTGCCTTAATTATTTAAGTTTCAGTGAACTGAGTTTATTCACATGTTAGCTTTCAAAGGTTGTGATGGATACTTATAAAATCCTCAGTTGAGTTTACTCACTAACTGCTCTGAGCGATTTTTGCATGACTTCTGTGCTTGTATAAACACAGTAACTGCTAAAAGCGGCGTAAAACCATGCTCACTCACAGTAACTGTTAATCCTCTGCATTGTGCTGGCAAATTGGGGATAAACCTGTGACGATCAAACTTAGTTAGAATCCTTGTTTATCTGTGACATCTTCCAACTGGGGACATTTTAGTAAACTTGAAAAGTGATGACGAATTTTAATATTCATATTATTATAGTTTTTCAAATTGTAAATAAAACTTTGATAAAATTGTGCTACACTCATTGAAAAAATGTATTGTCTGTGGGTATATGTCACGTCACATCAGCATTTTTTAAAGTTATATTGCGGCGAAATAATTGCCAGCTTTTGGGACTACATGTAACATGGCTGCTTTTATATTTCTTATACAGGTGCTTGACTGCCTCAGTAGTGCATGATCAATTAGAATTTTTATTGTGTATACATATCAGTCAAGATTGCAACAATAGATGAATAAATTAAATAAATCTGGACCGCAGTTACCGATTAACAACAAGACATAGAGACAGGCAGTCGATATATAACAAACGTTATGGTCCTATTAAGACGATTGACAGTTAGAACGTTGGAGTAAATGACCCTATATTGTAGGGTCAATCGCTTTTGACATGTTTAAACTCTCTTTAAGGCATGTATCATAAATCTGTTATATGTTTCTACTGTTAGAATGTGTCCTGATCACCATCAAAAAACACCATTCATTGCGTGCTTGTAACAACCACCTGTGTTAACATAACACGCACATATCATCAAAGAAAAAACGCTGGTCGGAGTAACGCGAATAATTTATTTCTGAAAGTCGGCGTAACGCGAATGAACCGAATTGGTACCTTGATATTCAACAAGAAATAATCTTGTTTATTTCCAGGCCATCCTGATCATCGTATATTCCTACTTCATGCATGGTTAGAGGCAAGATCAAAGGCGCCGCCCAGCATTTATTAGGCAACAGACAGGGTTGTCTGTTTCGCTTCGAACCACAATCCCCACCCTGTCGGTAGGGTATATCTAATCGGTGAGCACATAACTTTGTCAAGTCTACCGCGGGGTTTGATGCGGTGTCAGTGTCGAATGATTTGGTGATAGTTGTGAAAATATGCGTTGTATATCTTTGTTACTAACTATCCTCTTATTTGCTAAATTAAAACGGATATAACCAACAGTAAGTTAGCCAACTGGCATATCCACTGTCTGCTACATTCCTTATATAGGCTAAACGGTCATGTTTGTGTGTTCTAGACGTAACATCCGAAGACTAATAAAGTAAATTTTAAGACAGTACAGACTATGGAGCCGAAAGGTAATATGTCCATAACGCATCTGCTGTGTATAAGAGGATGTCTATGACCTGAAATGTTATAACGTTAGATCGCGAGGGCGAAACATTAATGTAGATACACGAGAGTTGGGACACTGGCTGTGTAACACCAAGACACGCGGTTTGAAATCAGTCACTGACATAAGAGATAATGTTAATATAACACACAATTTTGCTTTCATATGAAGCATTATGAGAACTGGGGAGCCAATATGCAAGTATTACACGCATTCACTCACGGAAGAAATTTATAGTTGATATTGTATATTTTTCAATCAGTCTGAACACATGTATATCAAAATAGCAAATAAACAAGTCCATGGAAAATGCTTTGTTGCACTTTAATGTCTTTTGCTTTCACTTAG